GTATTACATACAAATTATACCTTAAAACAAAACAAACCCTATAGGGACCCCACAGGCCCTTCTACAAATCTGGTTAATTCTGGGCAAGTCTCTTGCTCTTTCCCTCATGACTCCTGAGTCCTCTGGAAATCAATGATATAGCTTAAGTGCCCCTGGTCACTACATGTCAAGGAGTATTTCCTGATAACCAGAACATTTTTTTTTTGTACAGAGCAGCAGAGGATCTCGGGTGAGGTGATTTGTTACTGACTCTCATTCCCTGAACTAACCAAGTCTGAGTCCAGATCATTTGTTCCCCATCTGTAGGGAGTGAAATATCAAAATCAAGGTGGTCTTATTTCAGTGATTAAATATATTCAGAGATGAATAATTTTTTTACCACTAATAAAATTTTCTCACTATAATCAAACTTGCTCAAAGATAGTGTTTTAGCTTATATTTTCAAGCTCTTTGGTTTTACACTTGTGAGTGTATTCCTTGCATGAATTCTTCATATACAGAGAGCAACTGTAATTACATTCCTCTCTGTTCAGCTACCTAAGAATTCAAATCCAAAGCAATCATGCAGGGGGAATAAAGCTAAACAATCAAAAAGAATCCTAATCTGCCATTTCAGCATAAGAAACATTCCAGATTCTTAGCTGCATTTACTTTAGAAGGTTTTATTTGAGTCAATATATCAAGTGAAGGTTAATTAGAGCCAGATGAAAAAAAAAATCCCAATCATATTTCTATTGTGAGAAATTTCCCTATCATTTAACATTTAAGTGTTTGATTCATCCGATTTTAAATTCATCTGATTTTAAAATTATGTGCATTAATTCATCCCTTGATATCTACAGAGTACTGAATTCAGGCAGGACTCCCCTTGGGTATCAAAATCCATGGATCCTGAAGTCCCTTATATAAAATGGTGCAGTATTTGTAGGCAAAGTAGGCACAGCCTCCCAAATACTTTAAGCCACCTCTAAAGATTACTCATAAAACCTAATATAATGCAAACTGTATGTAAACAGTACAATGTAGTGCTTACATAATGACAAGGGAAAGTGTGTGTACACGTACAATTTTTTCTCAATTATTTTCATTCTGTGGTAGCTTGAAGCCATGAATTCAGAACCTACAGATATGGAAGTAAATAAAATGGGCATTCATTTCCTCCCTGCTCACCATATTAAATGATTATTTAAGCATCATTTACTAAATTGTCCATTCTTTTCCTCACTGATCTGCTAAGCTATCTCTATTACATGTACCAGGTTTCCTTGCATGTATGAGTCTTTGGAATTTTTTCTTTTCTTTTTTTCCCCCTACTGTACAGGCTAATCTATCTCCAGGAAAATTTTCAACTACAGATTTGTTATCAACCTTAACATTTGGTAGGACAACCACCATCCTTTACTTTGATCTGGTTCCTGGTTCTGGCTCTTCAAAGCCCTTGCTACCTAAATATGCATTTTAGAATCCATTTCCCAAGTTTTAGGGAAATAATTTTAATTACAATTATATTATGTCTACTGATTGATGTTGCAAAAATACCTTTATGACAATAAATTTTCCTTTCCAATAAGTTTTATTATTACCTTTTTTCTCTGTTTTGTGTAGTAGGGAGAGAACTGGTTAAAATTTATTTCTAGGCAAGCGGCTTTTTAATAGCTGTTGTAAATATTTCCTTTACCCAATTTTAATTCCTGTTTCTGTCTGTTGATGATGCATAGAAATGTAATTTTGTATACAGCAACCTTACCAAACATTCTTATTAACTCTAATAATTTTTCTATGGCTAACTGTGGGTTTTCTATAAGGACAAACAGGGCTTCTGTGGATAATGACAATGTCTATAAATATTTTGTGTGTTGTGTCTCTGGCTATGGGACCCAAATAATAGTGAACAGAAAAGACCAAGCATCCTGTCTTATTTCTGATGTTATAAAACCATTTCTATATCCCAACAAGCAATTTGTTTGTTGGGGTTTTGGTGGTGGTACTAGAGTTTAAACTCAAGGGTCTGGTGCTTGCTAGGAAGGTACTCTACCCTTAAGCCATGTACCCAGCCCTTTTTCGGTTTAATTATTTTTGAGGTAGTCTCTCATTTTTGCCCAGGTCAGCCTGTTCCATGATCCTCCTGTGTTGTTGGGATTATATGCTTGAGTTACCACATCCTGTTGTTTTGACTTTTAATAAGATTAAAGATGTCCCCTTCCATTTGTGGTTTGCTATGATATTTATTAATCATGAATGACTCTTTCATTTTATTGAAGTGTATCAATTAGGAATGATCATATAAATTTTTCCTTTAAAATACTAATACTACTAATATAGTCAATGACATCTATAGAATTATAACATAGGTCCAACATTTTCAGATTTTCACTAATTTGCTCTACATTCTTATCTTTTAGATTAGTACCTAGTGACATGATTGAAATAAATATCTATACCTTTACTAAATATAACAATTCGGGCAAAAGTGCTAACAAGTTTGAAGACTAGAGCTCAGAATAGATTAGGCCCAAGTACAGACAACTGCTCCTATGAAACACAGCAAAGATGACAATAGTCCTATAAATATAAACCCAACTACAACATGGTATAGGCTAATTTTCCACAAAACAACTTGGTGTATTTTCTGGAATAAAAAAAAAAAAAGTACACTATCAAAATGAATGTAATGAGATTTTTAATAGTTCTCACATTAAATTTCTATGGCACAAATGGTTTCATGGCTTTAAAAAAGTGATTGAAAACACCTGTTCTATTTTATCAGCAAATTAGTTAAGCTGAGAGTATAATTAGTAAGGCTTCTCATTTCCCCTTTAAGAATATTTGTGTTCTTTCTCTTTCTCTCTCTCTCAGTTTTATAATCCACATCTTCCCATGTCTTCCTACCTGAATTTAAGTGTGTATTTACCAAGTGCTAACTGTTGGATGGAGTAAGGGACTAGTTAAGTAACCTTTTTTCAATATGAAAGAAAACAAGAATATATGATAAGGTTAATGCAACTTTCACATGAATTTTATGAATAAAACGCAAGACTACAAATGTTTCATGGTCATTTTTGGCTTAGACCTAAGCAACACCTATATTATGTAGCAACATGTCTGCTTTTTTCAAACATCACCACAATTATATCAACAACTGTTATATTTTTAATATCAATATAGTAAGTACACAGTATAAATGCAGATTCTTATAATGCAAGTCAGGGTGTAGGGAAGAGAAATCAGATAGAATTAAACACCCAAAACTTTTTTCTTATTCTAAAATTAAACTTTGAAAATATGCATGGTATATACTCTGACTATAGAACTTTATGGAAAAACCCTCCACAGGCATTAAAACCTCCTATAAAGCTACTTTTTAAAAATAGCATATTGTTACATTTGCCATGTATTAGGCTGCGGACGATTTCCTTAGTTTTCCTTTTTTGATCTAACTGAAAAATATGGTATTGCATTTATAGGTTTAATAAGCTGCATCTCGTTTTATAGGTTTAACTTTCCTTGTTAGGTCACTACCTCATTGCATTTTTTTTTTTAATTCTTCCTTAGTGACTTGTCCTGATATCAAGCTTCAAATTTGTACTATTATGGGATTGTCTAATATGAAACATAATACAAGACTATGGTATAAATATGTCGAATTATGCTAAATGCAAAACAGCTACTGTTGTGACTACAGCATACATACAAAAGGGCATCCAGGCTTTGAAAAGCTGCAGAGAAAGCTCCCCTGCTGCAATCTATGGCAGTTATTGTTCCATGCACAGTACTCATTTTGTTACTTTAATAATTATATCAAACTTCATGCTTTTTGAGTTTTTGAAAGATTTCACCTGTTTTCTCACTAGATGGCATGATGCATGTGTCAAACAGTTAAAGGCTGTTTTCTCTTTAGCAACTGATTGTCTCACCAGGTTTACTGTTAGGTATTTCATGTCCTGGATGCAATTTAGCCCTGGACTCCAAAGAAGCTGATGGTGAACACAGAAGGGAGGAATGACTCACTGTGGTACATCACTTACAATGGTAAATTCCATCAAAAGATAGTCATTATAAGCAAGATGACAACTTTTAACTCAACAGAAGAAAACTATTTTTATCTAGTTCATTAATCTTCTAAGAATAAACATAAGCTAATACATTTTTGTTAACAAGAGGAAAATATACATAAATCAGGGAAGTGATGTGTACATTTTTTCCCAGAATAATACTTGTGACCAGTTGTGGTCAGAATCATGTTGTTACACAATCTACAAATATGAAACAAACAAAAGACTATTTTGTAGAAATTAACCCTTAACAACTCCTTACCCAAAAAGTAGTTTTTCACAAAAACAACAGGATATAGATAATGTTATAATTTTTCCTGTGTGGATACCAGCATGCACATATGCCACTGTGTCTTATAAACTTGTGCCGAAACCAGAGAACTCTGGTGTTCATTACATCTCATTCATTTGAGACAATCTCTAAGCACACTAAACCATCAAGGGAATAAAAACACACTAATATTATTAGATAGTATACAATGAATGTTCTCAGCAAATCAAGGGCTTTAACAATAGTCTTTGTTTAAATTTAACGAAATTATGTCAATGGCTTGGCAATATTACCATTCAGTCTTTAACCAACAAGATCAAATGACTCGAACCAAAATAGCATTGGGAGACAGAGTCATAAAAGATGTATGATGAAAAAGGGAACACAGCATCAGTTTCAGTAGGTAGTTCTGAATAACCTTTCTAAGCTGCCAACTAAAGGACCTATACGCTCCCCTGAAAACATGGTTGTTAAAACCAAGTCTGTGCTCTGTTGCTACACATACAGATGACATTTTCTTAAAGGACCAAGTATTTAAGTTAAATTCCATCTTTAAGGTGGTATAGTCATATGAATAACCAATAGAGGAGAAAAAGTTGAAAGAAGTCACACATTTCTTTGTAAGCCCAAATTTACTGTATAGTAAGAGTAATCAGCACTGCCAAAGGCCATCCTACCTGTGCTTTTTGATGCCATTGGAGAGAGCATCTCCCCCACCACAATCTTTTCCTTCAGACATTCTGTGCTTTCCACTGCTCAAGTGCTCTTCTTTCTCTTCAAAGGAGGGTGCTGTCACCGTTTCCAATTGACTCAGGGACTGCTCGGACTCGGAATCTGTGGCATAGCAGGCTCATGGTGAATGAATTGAACTTTGGTGTGAGGCTTCTGTAACAAGGGTATCTCCCTTAATGCACCAGGCTTTGAAACTCAAGCAGCATACTTTGTCCTTCAACAACCCATCCGTGACACACGTCCTCAGAGATTTCAAAGAACCCGCACTCAATAAGGCTCAAGTGGATTTATGAAACAGATGCATTTATATAAAGTTATAATTAAACTGATTTTATATACTGAAAGAGATTTCTAAAGATTACCCAATTCTTTGAAAAGTCATAAACATGATTCCTCCAAATTTTTTATTCTCTTCCTTCATAAGCATAACTTACAAAAAATTTTAATTTTTTAAACTCATAGCTGGGCACTGGTGGCTCCTGCCTGCAATCCTAGCTACTCTGGAAGCAGAGATCAGGAGGATCATGGTTCAAAGTCAGCCTGTGCAAATAGTTCTTAAGACTCTATCTCAAAAATACCTAACACAAAAAAAAGGGCTGGCAGAGTGGCTCAAGTTGGTAGTGCCTGCCTAGTAGTGGGGAGGCCCTGAGTTCAAAGCCCCAGTACTGCTAAAAGAAAAACCACAAAACCCTCGTGTGTAACGGAAAAGCTGTAGCAGCTATATTTATGAGAAGTTTAAATTACAATCAATACTGTAGACACAAAAGTAAAGGTGATTTAAAAATACATTTAAAAATATTTTTCCAGTATAAGATGTTATTTAAATCCTTAAGAACTGAAGCCTGGAGTGTCCATGTATCAATTATCAGGCAGACATTCTTAAGATGGAAATGCCACATTCCCAGTTGGCTATGTATTCAGAGTGGAGCCATCTGCCCATTGGAAAATAGTAAAGTGACTCATTTTTGTACAATTCATGATAGATTCCAGTCACTTTCATCTCCTCTGAGCATCTTCAGGATGCTTTCATTAGGGGAGGTAGGTAGATGGGGTTATCAACAAGTGTGCTAATGGTCTCATGGCTTGTGAGTGGGGAAGCCAGGATCTGAATTCAGTTTTCTGACTCCTTGTTTAATGCTTTATTTTAGCTTGAAACACTACTAATCTTCAAAGAATTTTATAGGGTATCTCAGTTTCTATTAAGACAGAAATTCAAGGTAACCTATGACTTCCCATTTGGACTATCTCTTACCTGTCCTCAGCCCTATGAAAGATTTGGACACACATTCAAGCAAACTTCCTTAAATACATTTATTGACAATCTGTTAGGTATGTATTTTAGGTGATTTTTTTTTTCTTTTGGAAACAAAATGGTTTAAGGCTTTCATTTCCCGACTACATTCTGTAAAATATGGAGCCAAACGTGTGGAGCCATATTGGTATCACAATTAGGTTAATTCAGAAAAGTAACTAGTGGGCCACAGCATTGGCTGCATAGCCACAGGTTTAACAATACAGTACACCTTGAGCTTTGATGCAGGGACCCTCTGAATGATGTCAGTTACTTGTAGAAAGACTATAGTTTTGTTCTCTTGCATGCCTCAAAATAAAGAAATATATTAGTCCCCCTTGCCCACAGTTTTGCTTTCTGTGGTTTTAGTTCTCCAAGATAAACCACAGTTCAAAAAAGTCACATAAATAATCCCAGAAACACTTTGTAAGTTTTAAACTGTGCCATTCTGAGTAGCATGATGGTATCTCCTGCTGTCCACTCTATCCTGCCTGGCCTAAGGACACATAAGGCAGAGAAGGGTTCAGTCCATTTTTTGGAGCAGGCAACGGAGTAGTATCAGAAAAGGCTACCAAGAGAGCTAGTGCAATGGTAAGGGTTACAAAAATGAAAGCGATGCTTGGCAGAGGCAAGAGAGCTGCTTGAAAGGAACAGGAGAGACAAATCCTGAATTAAAGATGATTATAGCAGCCTTGGGTGGGGGCCAAGGGTGCCTTTTCACATCTACATTTTAAAACTTGTTCCACATGAAAAACATTAAGAATTGGAAAAGTCAAACAACTTTATCTGCATTAGTATTATTTAAGATGCATTCTTAGTTTATAATTTAGATGTCAAAAAAATCAAAAAGCAATCAAACAAAAAAACCTCAAGCGTTTATGAAACATTACTATGCACAGGATATTGTATTTGTAATTTAAGAGATACAAATTATAAGGCAGGGACTTGCCCATCTAAAAAGAAGTTTTCTTGTGAGTGTGGTTTTGTTTTTTAAAGCCAAAAAGTAGATGTACAGAAAACACTAAATAACATGCTGTAAGAATTTCTATAAAGAAAAGACAAACTTTTCCAAAACAAGATTTCAATGTAGTAAATACATGAGCTGAAGATCTACTACCCTCATCTGTATCAGGCACATTAGGGACACATGCAGGGGACTCACCCCCAGGAATCCACCATTGGATAGTAGTGCAGATCCTTGTCCTCTGTGGCTACCAGCACTTGACCCACTCTCTGTGTCTCCTCTCCTTGCCATCTCCTGCCTGTTTCCCTGTTCTGGCACCTCCTTCCTCCCTCTTCCTCCATATTTACTCCTCTCTACCTTGCTCTCAAACTAATTCTCTAATATAACAAATCAGTCATGAAGCTGACGCTAGAGGATGAATAAAAATCAGAGGTAGGCAGTGGCACAGAAAGGATATAAAGTAAAGCTAGAAGCCAGGTGCTGTTGACTCACACCTATATCCTAAGCTACTTGGGCGGTTGAGAGCAAAAGGATCACAGTTCGAGGCTAGCCTGGACAAAAAGGACCAAGACCCCCTTCTCCACCAATAGCTGGGCATGATGCAGTGCACCTGTCATCCCAAGCTACAGAGGAGGCTGAGATTGTGAAGATCATGGTTTCCAGGTCACCTCTGGCAAAAAAAAAAAAAAAAAAAGTTTGCAAGCCACCATATCAATAGAAAAAAGATGGGCATGGTGGTGAAGGCCTATCATTCCAGCTACTTCAGGAAACATAAAAGAGGAGGATCTCGCGGTAGAGGTCAACCTGGGCAAAAAGAGAAATCCTATCCCTAAAACATAACTAGAGCAAAAAGACTGGAGGCATGGCTCAAAAAAAAAGTGGTAGAGGGCCTTCCTAGCAAGCATGGAGCCCTGAGTTCAAACCTCAGTACCACCAAATAAGAAAAGAAGAGAAAAGAAAGCTGAGAATAAGGTAGTATACCATTATCTGCCTTAGGGTTTTATACTTGCTAGAGCTAAGTCAAACTTAGCCTTCTAGATTCAATAGCAACTAAAACATGATCAATTACATGATTTATAGTACCCATGAGATACAAACTAGTTGCTTAAAAACAAAAGTTCAGTTATTCCTGGTACTGTGAGCAGAAAGATGCCTGACGTACATAGTATGAAATAGACTGGACTTATTTTGTTAGCATTAGGGAGCCATTCTTAATAGATTATATCTTCTTGGCATTTGTTGCATCAATCTACTTCCAGTATGGCACTGTTCTACAGTCTAGAACTCATTCTTAACGCTGCAGGCTTTTCAGTTTTGGCTACACATGTAAGTATCATGTAGGCCTTACCTCATTTACTATCCACTGTTACTGGGAAATGTATTGATGCCTTAGAGGGAAACAAAGTATTAGAAAAAGTGGGGTTTATGCCTTTCATGTGCTGGCAGCAGGCTTCTCTTACATACAGCAGTGTAAGCCACACTACTCACACTTCAATAAAACAAAACAAAAACGCCAGCCCCTTCTTCTGTTTTACTTCCTGGCCATGAGGTGTATGGTTTTGCTCCACTACATGTTCTGGCCATGATGTGTGGCTTCATCACAGGCTCATAAGCAATGGGGCCAACAAATAATGGATTGAAACCTCCAAAATTGTAAGCCAAAATAAATCTTGTTTCTTTGTAAGCTGAGTAACTCAGGTATTTGTCATAATGACAGAAAGCTGGCTAACATACCTGGTGATAAAGGTTGTGTTGCAATGAGAATGTACTCAATTTCACCAGATTGTACACTTAAAAAGTTATGATGGTAAGTTTTATGACACATAAATTTTATAATAAAACCAGTAACAACAAAAAGGAAAAACCTGATAGTCCAAAGCTGAAGCTCTATTATGTTGGATGCATGAACTTGATTCTGGTCCTGTTAATGCTCATCTCAATGCCAATTGCAAAAGATCAACATACAGGAGCAAAATTGGCTGATTTTTCTACAGACACATTTTTAAATGCAGCAGCAGCAAATTCTTTTAACAATATATGTAGTTAGATATCAGACAATGTACTGCATTTCTCCTTATAAACATATGTTTTTGTAAGCAAAGCCACTCAACAATTTCAGGATACTTCACTGACCCCCCTGAAAAGCAAGGTAAAGGTTTTATAAATAGTCCTACATTCTTTACTAAACTTTTTTTTCAGTACTGGAACTTGAACTCAGGGCCTATATGTTGAGCCACTCCACCAGCCCTTTTTTGTGATGGGTTTTTTCGAGATAGGGTCTCGCAAACTATTGCCCGAGTTGGCTCTGAACCAATCTCTGCCTCATGAGTAGCTAGAATTACAGGCATGAACCACCAGCTTTATTAAACTTTTGATGGACAAATAGGAAAATCTGTATAGCTCAAATGCTGGCAAATGGAAAACTTGCTGTGCACTTATTTGTGACTTATGAGTTAATTCCCATATGGTCCCTAAAGGATTCAAATGGCTTATTATAATTACTATATACTTTATGGAAAAGCATCAGAATAACACTTTGAAAACACTATGCTTTATAAGATACTCTAGTTTACAGAGAATATTTAAGGAAAACAGAATCTCCAGCCTAATTATTTAAATTAAAACAGTAACATTAATGGAATGGCCAAAAAAAAAAAACCCCTCTAAAGTTGATTTTCGTCTTGGGAATTTTTTTTGGCGGGGGGCAGCACTGGGGTTTGAACTCAGGGCCTCACACTTGCTAGGCAGGCACTCTACCACTTGAGACACTCTTCCAGTTAAAGTTGATTTTAATGTGACAAGGTGTTCAATGGCTCAGATCTTTAAAGCTCTGGTAATACTATAACT